AAAGGTGGGGGGGTGGGTGGGTGGGAGGGTGGAAGAAATAGTCATTTCTTATACTGCCCAGACTGAAAGGTCTTATCGTGAAAATGAGGAAAGACATTTAAAAAGAGACTGTGACCTACTGAAGTTACAACGTCAAAGACAGCACTGGGGAATTTTGCTCAAGTTCATGCCACATGCAGTAAAACAGGGTGAAACAGTCTTGCTTTGAAAAAGTCTAACTCAGTATTTTATAAAAAGCTAGACTGATTTTACCTGATATTATGTGATTACTCAAAAATGTTGGAATTGCCCATGTTTCGCTTTTTGCCTGACATGATGGTTTCGTAATTGTTTAATTTCCTTGATACTCGGATATTATTCTAAAAAATGTGATAATGTAGGGTATTGAGTAGCTGGGGAACACTAAGTTTTGCTTATATAATTTTTACACTAAGCCTTGCTTACATCATTTTGCAAAACACACAAACAAACAGTGCTATTTGCATTTCAGTTATCCTCACATGAAATATCCATTGTTCAAGTATTCTACTGCTGGCTAATAATGTAAAATACAGAATATGCTGTTGTACAGAGTTGCTTTTTGGAAAACTCTCATAAGACAGTCCTTAATGCCATGTGATGTGAATGCAACTGTATTAATTAAACTTCCCTTTCCATGCCAGTTGCTGCCCCGAATGCTCGCTTTTTGAAAAATGTCGTTCTTTATTGTGCTGTGTCTGAGGAGGAAATGTCTCAGAGATGGACCTCAACTTTTTATTTTATCAAGCATTCAGTGTCAGGCTCACATAGGATTGCAGAAGACCAGAACTGGACTTTTTATTTTGTGTCCCTACCGTTTAACTTTTACTTTATCAAAAGAATGCCCTGTCAAAGTGTACCCAAGTGCAGGCAGCAATGTGTGTGTCACATCTTGCAATTATGGTATTAGGTGCCCATAACAGTTTGAAGCATAAATTGGATCATGGGTATTTTAGTTTTGAACCTCTGTTCTTAAAGCTAGTGCTGACTATAAAGACGAATTGCTGTCACAGATGAAAATAGAGCACACACTGTCTGTGTAAGAATGGAAGTGTTATTGCAACTCTGTGTAGATATGTTATCATGACTATAGTCATTTTTAAATGAATTTTGCTGTCAGTGAATGCCTTACATCAAGATAAAAGTAGTGAATTGAGAACTGACCTTTGGTTCTCTCACATCAAAGGAGAAAATGTTCTGATGTTTCCTTCAGAATTTGCATAGCATCTCAATATGTGAGGAGATTAGACACCCTGGGGGTTGTGTTCCCTCTCGTTCCCTGCTACATCCCACTTTCCACATGAGCCTTGCTTGTTTATTTATACTAGAGCTGATACCTGTTGGAAGCCCCCAACTAGCTAGAATTTGAGATTAGGATTGTTCTTTCTTCTCACAAGTCTGAATAATGAAATCAGTCACACAAGCCAGAAAAATGAAATCATGAAAATTAGGGTTGAGGGTGGAATGAAGCGGGGTAGAAATGGGAGGTCAAACCAGAATCACTCTCTGTCATTTGGGACCATGAGAGAGGGATGCTCGAATCTGCCTACCCTGCCTGGGTTTGGGGCTGGACCCTAAACTGAAAGCTTAACTTTCCGTCTCTGGTTGGACATAGGCATCGAAGTCAGAAGATTTTCACACAGCCTTTTGGGAACGGAGTTGGAATCTATTGAGAAGAACACAAGAAGAATGTCATTGAACCAGTTCTTAGCACTGTTTCAACCAGAAAATTCGCAGGAATCTTTACAGCCTTTGCACCAGAAAAGACATATTGGGTTACTTTATGAGGTTTTGTCCTGGCCTATGTCATTTTGAGACCCCTATTCCCACTGTCGATGTCGGAAACAAAGAGCCATATTTATTATCCATACAGAAGTCCACTGATTTGATTGGATTTATCCAGGAAATAGTTTGGCTCAGGTCTTTTGTTAATAAAATTTGTTAGTCATCTGAAAACGTTAATCTTTTCTGAAAAGTGTTTAACTCGTGTTGCTGTGCTGGAAGAAATACTTCCAGTGTTGCCTGATTTAGACCAGATTACCTCCTCAGGACTGAAAGCAGTCACAATTTGGAGTGCTCTTGGATGGCTGATGAATAAATTTGGCTTGTCAGTCTGGGAACGGAGCTTGAATCCTGCAAAGAGAGTTGTAAGGAAATGAGAAACAATGTATCTGTGACACCTGATTGTCTCATCCTTAATCGGCCTTGTAGTTGATGCCAGATTTAAATTAGCAAATATTGGGCAACAGTGCAGTTAGGCAGCTGTTTCTCTGTGCATATAAAAGTGTTCAGAGTAATAAAAAAACCCACCTCTCTTCCCCAAATTTGCTTTAGTAGTCATCTTTTTTATGTAATCTCTCTGACTAAATAGCTTTTAAAATCCTGTCCTTTAGATTTTCATTTTTAGAAAGTATATCTATGATAGTTAAAGGCTAAGCCACCTTTTACAGCGTAGGAGCTAATTCTATAGTTCTAGCACAGACTCCTTCTAAAATAACTGGAAGCATTTCTGGAGTTGGAAGGTCTTGAATTAGTTTTTGTGATAATAATTTCTGTGACTGCGTGAATGTGACTCCAAATTGTCAGTGACCTACAAGGAGGAATGTTGGAAGTGTTTGAGACCTTTCAGGTAAATCTGATGTGCTAGCAACTCTAATAGTGCCACATAAATTTCATCCCACTGAAGAGGGATTGCGAGTGCAAACAGAGCCTTTTTTTGAGAGGTGGAAGTCAGTCAAAGAGCTTTGCAATTGCTGAGTCTTGTTCGCTGCTAATAAACTTTTAAGCCATGTGGTTATTTCTTAGTCTGACAGACTGTAGAAGAAGCAGTTGGAGAGTAAGGCTGAAATAAAAGTCCTTGCTATTCCTCCCTCCATGCATGCATCTCTCTGGCCTAAACTCTTGGGTGAGAGGTTTTTTTAAACACCTGTCAATATTCCCTAGATATGTATTTTATCTTACATGTGCACATTTATTTTAGAATTTCACACTATAGCGTACTGTTTTTATACAGCTGAGAAACATCCTCAATTTTTAAAAGTTAGGAACACCTGTCAGCTCCCACTGACTTTGAAAGCTCTCAGCCTGGACGTGAAGCTCTCTGAGTCACAGACTGCCTTTTCGATGCCCGTTGCATAGCCTCTACCACAGGGAGGACCAGTTGCTGAGTGGAAGCCACGGATATCATGCTACAAGTAGTCCACAGCAGTAGCTGCTACCTTTTACTGGTCATGCAGTAAGTCAGTAGTAGGGATGAGATTAGATCATCGCTAGGCTCCAAATGCCTTTTCTTTTCTTTAACATCACATATTTGAGATGTCAGCAGTGTTTGATATGTGTAAGTTCACTCACAGCCACTTATGATATGTCCTGTAAAAAACATCTGGGTACTAAATGTTCCTCTTCTGACCGTCTCTCTGAAAGGGGCTGTGTGCAACCTCAGTGTTTCTTTGTTTTAGGTATCACCTTGCCCTGCATAGTTCCTGGAGCATATGGTCCCCCAGGGATTCCCGGCTTTCCAGGACTGCCAGGTAGGGAGACAAGCTGATTGTAATGCACTGGCTGACTACCAAGAAGTACTTACTGCTCAAGGAAGATAATACCTGCTAATTAATCTCCTCCGAGTGATAGTTATTCCAGAGAGTTAACTGGCAGAACAATGTTCTTTTTTTTTTCCAAGAGACTAGGCTTAAATCCTATGGAGGATCATAATGACTGCACCATTTTTTCCCTTTCAAGTAGCCTCTGAACACAAACCCTCTCCTTCTGTGTTTATGTAGCTGATGAAACAGCCATAGCTTTGAGACTTTATTTAGCTTAAATTGTGTATCCAGCAAGCATTTTCAGCACCAGCTTTGCAGAAAAGATCCTGTTTCTCATGCTGTGTTTTTGTCTTCCACTATTCATTCATTGATATTGCTTATTAATATATTTTTACCCTTAGGTCCCAAAGGCAGCAAAGGCTTTCCTGGCATTCCAGGCCAACCTGGATTACATGGGTCAAAAGGACAGCCAGGGTCTCCAGGAATAATAGGCTTGCAAGGGCAACCTGGTAAGAGGGAATTTACTGGAGTTCTTTTTATTGTCTGATTAATGTGTACAATATTTTATCAAAAGAGTTATCCAACCTTCTAGGCCACTTTTCTGCCTGGTACATTCATAATGCCCCATTGAGAGCCCCATTGTGCTCCTTCCAAATTCAATCTCTGCAAGCAAATGGTTGCAGCTTGGAAGAAAACAAAAGAAATGTTCAAGATACTTGTTACCTGCCTATAATATTATATCGCTGCTGGAAAAGGGGACAACCAACACAATTTGTTTCTCCAGAGACTGTCGTCATGTGCTTTGTTACAGTTTAGGTTAACTACAAGTTTATTGTAACACTTGTTTTAAGCCATGTGGTACTCTGGTAAAGGCACGCTGTACACGGTGTTTGGACTCATTTTACCTGTGGGAATTTCTGATGGTTGTGTAAATAAAGAGCAAGAAGCCGAGGTGGTGAGGGAAGATTCCTAAAGCTAGGTTGCTCTGTATCCATCAGGTTTGTCTGGATATGGCTGAAGAAATCTCTTATCCTTTCACTACATTAAGGGGGGATGTCATCTTTATGGGGTCACTGATTTCATTTTCATAACCCCTGAGCAGTGTGACACATCCACACAGCAGTTCAGTTTAGTGTCTGCTTGGTACAGGGAGAGTACTTTCCAGTCCTCCTTGTACCAAGGCTGCCAGTGTTTTCTGCCCCGCAGTGCCAGAAGTTGTGTGACATAGAGGACAGAGTAAAAATGGTGTGATGAATATAACATCTTTGCAGCTTTTGTGGTTGATAGTGGTAGTGAGATACTGCCTGTCTGTAGCCTGAAATGGCCATCTTCCTCCTTTTTTTGTCCTTTTTGCCTAATCTGCCATCTAGTGAAACCAAGCTTGTAAAGCTGCAACTAGCTGTAGCTCCCAGATACTCCTAAGTATTCTTTTCTTTAAAAAAAAAAAAAAAATAATAATATGAAAGGATATTCTAACTGTTTTAAACAGTTTCATCACTTTCTGTCACCAATTATTGCTTCTAATTCAGTACTGAAACATTCTGCGACTCTCCAAACAACTTTTTCTTGCATGGAAATTTTTAAAATGTTGATTTTGTTAGAGATGCTACTGGAAGCAGATATTCTGTACTTCTGCTGAGTGACATTTACTGTTTTTCTCTTTAAGGTTTCCCTGGGCCTCGAGGAGAGCAAGGGTCACAAGGACTTCCAGGACTGGATGGAACAGATGGTTTGCCTGGGAAAATGGGTGCTTCAGGCTTAGCTGGAACAAAGGGAGCTCCTGGAGAGGTATTTGGTGCTGAGAGTGGAGCCCTGGGAGAGCGTGGCCGACCTGGACTCCCAGGTGATAAAGGGCTTACAGGTGATCTTGGATTTCCAGGACCGAAAGGTAAGCACTGATACTGCTTGTATCTGGGAATATCAAACTGTCTCTCTTTCAGAAATCTTTCCTCTTTCCAATCTCTTTAAGATACTGTGTTAGCAGTCCTCTAAGCTGCTCACAGGTGGCGGTTTGCTGGTTTTCTCTTAGAATCTAATGCAACTCAAAGGCTTTTATTAAAACTCACTTTTTAATTAAAAGTGTGACTTTTGTTTTATTTGTTCTGTAACCTCCCACCTCTCTGTTCCCAGGGTTAGATGGAAGACCAGGCCTCCTAGGAATTAAAGGCGAACAGGGTAATCCAGGATATTCGGGTGTCCCTGGATTGCGAGGACCTCCTGGTCCTGGAGGTCCTTTTGGCGTTAAGGGAAAACCTGGACCCTTGGGGTCAGTTGGCCTTGCAGGAGCACCAGGTGTGTAATATCTTCAAATGAAGACAAGTAGCTAAGCTGAACACTGCAATGTTGAGGAAGTGTGGGAGACATTTGGCATTTGCTAGGAGTGAGCTCCTACCTCTGGTTAGGGGTAACAGAGTGCAGAATTTGAGCCTTTTGCCTCTGACTGCTGGATGACTCCTGCCTAGAAATGGTGCCCCAAACAGCAGAAAGATAGGAGAAAGCATCTTAAATGTCTCGATATTTTTAACATCTCTGCTTTTACATGCTGGCTGTATCATTGACTAATCTTCATTTCCCATTTTCATGATGATTAATTTCTAATGTATGAGGTTGCTTGAAATGTGACTTTGATAGATTGAAAAATTGTTGGCTTTCTCAGAATGAGTCTTCTTAAGTCTTCTCTGTCTTTCTCTTTGCTGGGGCAGAAGAGAAGTTTATTTCCCTTCACTTTAAGGGGAAAAAACCCACCACTTGAGTACAGCAGTATCTCTCAAGCTGCAGTGACTAAAGTGTTTCATGATAACAGTATATGCAAGACTTGAGAACCAAGCAAAGAGGGACCTGGGAATTAGTAGATAATGGTCTGTGACATAACTCATCTGTTCTGACATGCAGAATGACAGTGCTGGCGCACAGTAACAACAGATGAATGAAAGCAGTAACGTCGTTTGAGATTAAAATCATAGAGTTTTAAAGTGGGGGTTTTTTGATGTTAACATTGCTTTTGCCTCTCTATTTTTTTACATTTTTGGACTGTATGTCATCTCTGACTTTCCTTCAACTGTTTTTAAAAACCTCCCATTGCTAGGATGATAAGCTCCAAATGATTAAGTTTTCTGCAGCTGTAGTCTCTCTGAGTCATTAATTTCTTTTGTACCCTTGTTCTTTCTGTTTACATATTTCGTCTGTTTTTTCCTTCACCATGTTTCTATTCCATTTATCATCAACTCTCCATTTCTGATGTCACACTGTTTGGTTATGGGTTCTTCACATAGGCTGTCAAGGTGAGAAAATGCAGTGTAGCATAAAAGCTCATGGACTAACAACCTAGCTTTTAATGCTACAAGAATTGTATTGACTATAGGTGATACCCCTTATTATTGCTAATCAAACCAGAAGGCAAAGAACCATTGGAGTGAGAATGCTTAGGCAGTAACAGAGCCTGAAGCCTATAATTAAATCCTTAACATATACAGATTTTAAGTGGGTTTTTTTTTCTTTGTCTTCTTAAATAAAGCAGCCATTTCATCTTCTGCTTTAAAAAGTACTGGGTTGTAGCTTAAAACATTTAAGCCCTGAGTATAACAAAACTCGTATATTGGGTGCTACCGCTGCAAATGCCATTTTTCAGAAGCCACCTGCTTTTTCCTTCTCTTCCTCTCTTTGGATCTGAGCATTCTGTTTTCAATGGTTTGAGCCTTTATTTAAAATTGTAAACTGCTAGAAACATTCTGAAACGTTTAGAGGCAAAACAGTGCGTATGATGTTGGTTTTGTGACAGCACAATCAGAAGCTTGTTCCCTTAGTGAGCAGTTTGCTCTTGAGAAGTGACACTTTAACTACCACAGTGGAAAAGAAACTTGTAAAAACAAGCCTTTCCAATTGATCTCTGGTTCACCCAGAGGATGGGGGTAGGTAGCAGAAGCTGGCATTAATGATGCTTCCCATTCTGGTTTGGCTGCCTTGATGATAAAGGTAAGACTGGTGCGCTACAGTTTAGTGTCTGGTAAAGGAGATGAAAATGGATACATCATAAGGGGTTTCACTCTTGCCAGTTGTGTAGTGATGTAGGCAGTAACCCTCTTCACAGGGTTTTAGATGACTATTATTATTAGATGACTAATGCTTTTGCAATTCTAAGCTTTATGCCTTCTAGTAGGCTGCGTGTGCCATAAGGTCCACGTGTCATATTAAAAACAATGCCGTGTTTAAAGAGTTTGGGAAGCTGTCCACAAATTGTGCTAGTGTTTGTGTGACATAATCTATCGAGTTCTTTCTTGTATTGATTCAGGACTTCCTGGAGCCAAAGGCTTGACTGGAGATGTAGGTCCACAAGGCCCTGCTGGTATGAAAGGCTTCCCAGGTCTTGAAGGTGCTCCAGGATCTCCTGGGGAAAGAGGATTCTTAGGGCCACCTGGGCCTTTTGGTCAAGATGGACATCCAGGTTTCTCAGGGCCAAAAGGTATGTACTAGGGGAATAGTCTGAGATTACTGGGCCCATAAAAAAATAGCCTTGTTAATACTGATTTTAGGCCCAACTTGTCAGAAGAGAATGGATTCCCAACTAGTGTTGGAATGCATTTGTTTTGCTGCTGAGTTATGAATTACGAATGATGGACTTATCAAATCATAGTCATAAGGAGATCCATCTTAAAGGACATGGGCCCTTATGGACAAAGGATCATGTAAATCAAGGTAGAAAGACAAGAAAATTGAAGAAATGAGGAACAGTGAGTGAAATTTATAGAACGGAGAGAATGAAGCACAAACCAAACGGGAAGTAAAAATTTACAATCTTTATGGTCATTAAGCACCAATATAGTAGTTGGTTACTTGGAGAATTCTGTGTTATTTTAGGCGGGGAGCAATAGAGCTATGTAACTGCATATTGCTCTCTTGGAAATTGATGGGGTTTTGCTCTCCAGTGGAAGCAGGACCAGGCTCTCAAAGGTGAACTGAAAAGTGCTGGTTGAAAGTGTCATGAGTGGAGATCCATGAGAGAAGTGGCTGCGCTGTGCTTGCGCCATGAAGTTTTACTACTCAGATTTGGGTGATTGGCCAGACCCTTGCTGCCTCTACCTGCCATCTAGGTAGGTATGCAGTGTACCAGAAGAGACTAATTTTCCCTTTCTACTTCTCAACTTTTCTATACAGGCGAGAAAGGGTCTTCTGGCCTGCTTGGTTTCCCTGGCATGCCAGGCCTGTCTGGTGTCCCTGGAGTGAATGGGTTTAAGGGAACTCCTGGCACAGCTGGAGAACAAGGGAGCCCTGGAGTTCTGGGACTCCAAGGTCAAAAAGGTGAGAAACAGCTGAAAGGCCTTTGCTGGCTGTGCAGCAGAGGGACTTAGGAGACCCTTCTGAGATGTCTGCATATTTAATGTTTTCTTCTAAGTATTGTATTCTTTTCTTCCTTGTGAAATACTTTGGCCTGGTTGCCAAAGGTGCTGAGCACTTACTGATGAATTTGCATCAGGAGACATCGAAGTTCTGTTTTTGTCTGCCAGCTTCTAGTGTTGTAGTGTTATACCATTTCTCCGTTAGATTATTTTGAAAGAAGATTTCCTGACTTCTTATTTCTTCAGGTGATAGAGGTGATGTAGGTCCACCTGGTCTTCCTGTTCTTGGGCCTCCAGAACAGGCACTGCAATTCAAAGGAAACAAAGGAGATCCTGGATTAGCTGGACTTGGAGGATTCCCTGGACCTAGAGGTATTTCACAACATTGTAGTTAGTTGCCAGTATCAGTTGTTCAGTAACTGTGCTTATTCTCAGTGGAGTATGGTCTGTCCTTTTGATAGCGCCTGCAATATTATTATTTTCTGTTCTGCCATTCACATTCTACCAAGATTTGCATATGACAATTCTGAATTTTGAGAAAACAATTTTCCTTTGAAACTCTGTTCTGCAGAGCTAATGCCATCCCTTCCTCCTCTTTAAGGGGGGCTTTGGGTAACAGGTCAATTGGCCTAAATAAGCTGAATTATCTGTATTATATAACTGAATTATCTATGTATTATATATCTGAATTATCTCTATTGTATAACCCAGGTGATAAAGGAATCCCAGGAAGCCGTGGACAGCCTGGTCTCCCCGGTCCAATTGGGTCCGCAAGCAAAGAGAGAGGTTTTCGTGGTGACCCAGGCTTCCCTGGTCCACCTGGACAGCCTGGGCTGCCAGGACAGCAGGGTACACATGGTATCATAGGATTTCCAGGCATGCCAGGAGAGAGGGAGAGAGGGTAAATACCTTCTTAAGTTTCTTCATCTTATCTAAGTGCTCTTAGGAAAATCCTGTGTTCTAATTGGTACTCCTGTAGCAAAGCAGCAGAAGCTGGCAGGATTTTTCCTTACAAAACTTCCAGATTGTTTTTGTTTGGCTCATATTGTTGAATGACACTTTGGATAGTATATCTTCCTACAGCTTTGCTGTCTGTTATCCCACATGACCCAAACTTGGAACAGCAAGAATAAAAAGCAAAGGCTAATTTTGGGTTGCTTTTTTTTTCAGGGTTCAGATGGTATCACAGGAACACTTGGATTCCCAGGTCCTATTGGCCTCCCTGGTCCAAAGGGTAAGAAATCTTTCATAGTGTACACGGTCTTTCAGTACACACATTCCTAATATTCCTGACTAAAATGAATGAGTAGTGTTCTAGAAGTGACAGTGCTCTCCAGTGACTGGCTCCGAAGTACATGTCACCTTGTAAGGGGCTTCATTCAGATGAGACCAGTCCCAAGCCAAATGCCTAAATACTTTATGGTCCTTTGAAAGTTTGGCCACAGCACTGTGTGAAGCATGTTGGACAGTACGAGAGGCACCCTTCTCTCTCGACCTCTTGTGTCAAAGTATAAAGGGCAGGATGTTGTGGAATTACCCATAAAGGTTTGTCTTGTCGTTCATTTGCATGAGTGAATTTGCATCCATTGCTGTTTATAAGCATTTTCACACTCAGGTACATCACTTACTGTTGTCTTTGTTTGCTCCATGGATTTGAAGTATAGGCAAGGTTTGTTTTTATAGACAAGGCTGTTGAGCAGCCCTGAAAACTGCTCCCCACAGTCAATTAGGGAATGGCCTCCCCACCTTGTCTTTCTTTTCCAGGTGACCAGGGAGAGCCTGCTGGCATTTCTGGCATTGCTGGAGCAAAAGGAGAGCGAGGGGACCCGGGGTTCCCAGGTAAAGTAGCCCTTGATTGCTCACTTCAAGAATGAAAAATTCTAGAGATTAACCAGGATAGCATTGCCCAATTTGGGTATTTTTGTAATCTGTAAATTTAAATACTTTACTACTCTCCTGGAAGTGAGATTTGAGGAGTCTGGAATCCAGGTGGGGCACAAATCTGGATGATAATGCACATGTCCGAGAACAGCCCAATTCTAATGCTGGGTCCCACTTCACTTCTTGAGGAGGAACTTGTGAACTTGCACTGGTATTTGGCATCCAGGGAGTCCAGTCCAGGGCCCAGACCATGGCTAAGCAGACACAAGTGCTGCAGCCTCAACATAACGTGTTTCTCATTCTTTTCATGCCTTCCTCCAGTTTGACTTGTGCTCTAGCATGCTGTCTGTTTTTATCCTTTCAGGAGAGAGAGGGAGAGAAGGACTCAAGGGTGAACCAGGCTACCCAGGAAACACTGGGGTGAACGGACTCAAAGGCAGCCCAGGAGATCTTGGCCAAGAAGGACCAGCAGGTACTGGACTAGGCATCTGAGTTCTGCAGTTCATGGTGTGACTGTGGAACAACCTCACCTTGTTATTTCCTTAGCCCTGGTTGCCCTGTCTCAGCTGAGGCTTAAACAAGAAGGTTGACAAGAAGGTGGGAATTTTCTCTGACACTAGTGTAAGGTGTCACCTCGTCCTGTTGTGACCGATCATGTGGGTCAACCATGTGGTGAATCCTGCACAGTGGAAACCTAAAGGAATTCCTTTAACAAACAGGGAAGACCTCAGTTAGATACAAGCAGTAGCAGCTTATTTGCAGCTGCTTATGGGCAAGGCTGCTCTAAAATCTTCCGTTGCAACACTTCTGTCCGTTCCCTCTCTTCCCTTTCTGAGCCAAACCTGCCCAGAGGATAGCTACAAGTGTCTTTGGGTAGTGGTGTAACTAGGAGGTAGATTCTCAAATTGTTACCAAGATTAAAGATGGGAGAACAGTGAAAGTCGTTACTGGAATATTTTATTTGAAAAACAATTTAAGTAGTTATTCAGTATGTGAATTGTTCCAGTGTGTCACTTGGTGGATGATGAAGAATGTTGTTGCTATGATTTAAAAAAAAAAAAAGCTATCAAATAAATAGCCTGATAAGTGCTATGCTGGTAGTGGTAGTGAGGAGAGATTTGGATCTGGTTTTGCTTTATCTAAATAGCAGTTTATTCACCCATCTTATGAGTTAAGTGCAGGAACAGAACAGCTGTGAGCTGTTCCATCCTGAATGTGTAGTACAGGAACATTTTTCTGCTTGTTTTTAGGAATCCCTGGAAACGCTGGGCTGAGAGGAATCCCTGGGCCACCAGGACCTCCAGGGCAGCCAGGATCTGTCGGATTCCCTGGAGCTCGTGGAACAGCAGGACCTAAAGGTATATCTGGAGCCTGCACATGGGGGGAGAAGCTGGGTCAGAAAACCAGTGTTTTGGCCAAGTATATCACAGCAGGCAGGCAGCACTCTTATGTGTGGGCCAGCTGTGCGTGGGAAATCAGCTCATTTCTTGGCAATGTTAGTGCAGGCACCAGCTGCTAGAAATGAGCAGAGGAGTGGTTGGAAAGGGAGAGGCTCCCACTTGATTTGGATCACTGATGGGTGTTCACTGAGGGTAAAACTGGTGAGAGCAGTGGGAAGAGTTTCCATGAAGGGGGCCTGCATGAAGGAAGACTTTACACACTGTGTTCCCCTGTGTGTCAGGTTTCTCATATATGTTGTAGTCTCCATGAAACTTCTTATGCATTTCCACCTAACTAGATTATTTGCTTATTTGCTCACCATGTGTTCATAATGTCTCTTCAGGGTTTCATGGATTTCCGGGTTTAAATGGTCTGAATGGCTTGCCGGGCACAAAAGGGTCTCCTGGAACACCAGGTAAAGGAAATGTGTAGTAGAAGTGTCATAGCTGGGGAAATGCATACACTGGTCCATTGTGAGAGCAGTGATCCCCACAAAATTCCCCTATTTCACCCAGTTCTGGATTTAATTATAACCTGAAGAAAAACCTTAGGATACTGAATGTGCATGAACAAATTCTTCTCTAATGCTAGTAAGAATAGGATGCAGCCTGTGGAGTGAAGAGGCTTTTCTGGTGATGGTTGTCCTTGAATTCCTGAAGGACTGTGTCAGTGCTGGAAAGTCGATGGAGTGAAATCATAAAACTCTTCCATTTCTAATGGATGTTTGATTTTAGCAGGGCAGCATCAAATGCTTGCTTTGAGTTGGGCTTAGCGATGGCATATTTCCTTACTGCTTTCCATTGCCCTCCATTATATAGAGCTCAAGAAAGGCATCAATAAAATCAGAAGCTGATTTATTTTATTAGATTCTGGATTCTGCTTTTGGGAAGCTTCTGCTGGATTTTTTCATATTTTTAATCGTATGAAATAGAATGTCATTCTGTTTTGCAAACAGTGTTTTACTAAATGTAAAGAGGTGGAGAAAGACCTTTCCAAAGAGACTTGTTTAGTTACAGTCATCTTCTAAAGCAGCACTTAAAATTGGTGACAGACATTTTATGCATGAAAATGGACAAAGTCTTGATGTGTACAACTCAAACAATACCTGTTTTCTTTGTTTAACACATTCTCTATTGGAAGATAATGATTTACAGCATATAGATCCTCCACAATTTTCCTATCTGAGAGAGCTGCTTAGTATTTACTCTTACCAGGGTGACATGCTGAACACCTCCCTGCAGCTCTTCCTGGGAGCCTCTGCCCTGCACCACTTGTGCCTCAGTGTGTCTTCTGCAGTAGTCTGTGGAAACTGATCTCTCCACGTTGGAGCATGAAGCCCACTAGATTATTTAAAGACCAGAAGCTTGAGTCTATGTTGCATCCTCTTGAGAGATACAGCATACAGGCTGGCAGGCAAATCCTGTCACAGGAGTGCTATGCCCACACCCTTGTGCAAAAGCTTGTGGGAAGACGAGCAGTCATACGCTCCTCTCTCAGCATCTTGCAGATTGTTTAAATTCACTCTGCACAACCAGAGTAGCACATGAGGCACCAAATCTCTTTCTGTTGGTCTACTGAAAACAGCAGAGAGTAGTAAATGGTTAATTTCTTATTACAACTCAGTTCGTGTAATAATTTAACTGCTATTAGGCAATTTGAATAGGCTCTCTTATCTTTGTTAACCATGTTTAATTAGGTCTGAGTGAAGCTGGACTGAAAGGCCCTGCAGGTCTCCCAGGTCCGAAGGGTGAAGGAGGTTCTCCAGGCTTGGGTAGAGGAGCTCTAGGATTCCCTGGACCAAAAGGCTCAGCAGGAGACATGGGTAAATACTGATGTTCTGGAAGCCCAGCAGGATGTACTGCAGCTCAGGTTAATGGGTTGCACAGTCAGCAGAATTACCAGAGAACTCCTAAAGCCACAGAGGTGGTTAGTAGTTTGACAGATAAACATTAAATCTGTGATGTGCCTATATATTTGAGAAACAGTGGGTTACATAGTTCTCACAGTGTCTATACCTCTCCTGAGCAGCAGGATATAGTAATTTTTCCCCTCGTGTAGTGAGATGTCTCTGTTCTCCTCAGTGTAAGTGCTACTCAGCCACTACTTCTGTCCACGTCTGTGAAGATCACTGAAGAGTTTTGGGTACACTCTCTCACTTTATATTTCTTATTCTAGGTCCCCCTGGTCCTGTGGGACTGCCTGGCTTGCCAGGAACACCTGGAGCTTCTCTTCCTTCTGATATACGTGGGAGACCTGGGGACGCTGGCCATCCAGGAACTGATGGGAGTTCAGGTATGAAGAGAGTGGACTAGCTAAGGGGATTTCTGTTTCTTTATGTGCTTCCTTTGAAGAGCTCTGAGGGGAAATTACTTGGATGAGTACTGTCACTTTAGTAACCTGGGGTTTAGATCAGGGATCGAGAATGAGAAGATGTGTTTTCAATTCCTGCTATTGAATCCTGATTTGATTTAGCCTGTTATTAAAGCTCTCTAGCCTATATTCATTTCACCTATTGTAGTACTGAAGACAGACTTGGGCACTAAGGTAGGTACTTAAGTCTAGTGTAGTACGTCTAAATTTGGACACTAGCTCCATTTTGGACTGTGGTTTCCACAGCTGTAATCATAGGCTCTGTGTAAAGTTTAGAAGTCTCCTGTGTGAGCTGGGAGGCAGCAAAGCTCCATTGCTACTTAGAGGTACATAAGAAGCACTTGCTGTAGGGTTGACAGCAAGTATAGTTTGAAAGATTTGTCGTGATGGCATTGGTACCCATTCAGTACCTCACAGCCTTGTTGGAGAGGCTGAGACTCTAAGCCTTTCCCTGGCCAAGGATTTGAAGCCATTACTCTCATTCTTCTAGGGAATGTCTGAGTCACCAGGCTAGCTACCAGATGGGGCAAGGGCTATGCTCAGGCCCAGAATTTGACGCTAAGTTACTGTGGTTAAAAGAATTTAAAAGTTTGTAAGACCTAAGTGGATATAAGCGGGTGGGGTCTGGTTCTTCTCCTTCGGGAGGAGGGGACACCCCCGGAAATATAGACACCCAAACAATGACTGTTCTCTAGAAAGACATGCTGGGCAGACTGTGCTAATTAACACTATGGTCTCTAGGTCTTCCAGGTCCTCCAGGACCACGAGGGCCCTCTGGCCCAGCTTCTGACCAAGGTGACACAGGCACTCCAGGTTTCCCTGGTGTTCTTGGCTTGCGAGGCATTAAGGGTGACGTGGGACCCACTGGTCCAATTGGACTCCCTGGAGCATCTGGATTCAAAGGTAATCTTGCCTTGAAAGGCTCTGGGTGTGGTTTGGCAGCTGTCACCTTGACAGTATGAATGGCTATCGTGGTTAGTGTGACTGCTTTGAAACGAATCCTCATTCGGGTGTAAGCACAGCTGAGTTTGTTGTCTAAGTCTTCCCTTTTGGCCCACGCAGGTTTTACCTACTGACTCCAAAAGCAGCAAAGGGAGGCCAGCTCCAGGTGCTCTTCAGTGTGTCCCTAAGGATTTTTTTTCCTCTTCTCTTTGTTTTTTTCTGAGTAGATGATGTCCACATGCTGTGCTTGTCGACTACAGTTACCCACTTGTATATGCTGTCTAGGCAAAGACTGGAGATGCCGTTTCATCCCACCTATCATGTATGCTCAGAGGCATAGTGTGGTGGGTTTAGGTCTCCAGAAGAGGCTAAGAGGATTGTAGGAGTTAAGAGATCTTGTTCTTGGCTAAGGCAGGGAGCAGGTTGCTCTCTCTTTGGTCTCTGCCAAAGGAGCCTAGAGGGCAGCTGCAAACAAGAACTCCAGTAGCAAGGTTTCAAAGAAACCGCGCAGCTCAAAGGCCAGGAGACAATGGAGAACCATTGCCAGGTGAAGAACTGTATGCTGTCTTTGTAGGCTGGCAGATCCCCATCCCTCTGTGCTGTGCATAGAGATGGATTTCAAACAGAAAAGATGTGTACTCCCCAAACACGTTCCCTGCGTTACCCAAGGAAGGGGAAGAATACTTTCAATAAAGTCTAATTATGTAGCAGTGGAAATTCTTGTCTTGAGGCTCTGCAGCCATTCTGGACATCAAAATGGGCACAGAGTTTCTGAAGGGTTGTGGTCCCCTCCATCTCAGAGCTGAACTGCTGTTGCCATTGCTGCCGTCAGTGTGTTTCTCCGTGCCCCAGCTGTGGATCAGAATCAGGACCCTACGCTTAGCCCCGAGGTCTTTAGCTGTGTGTCTTTGCAGGTGTAAGAGGGGACCCTGGCCTTATGGGGATGCCAGGTAAAGATGGGCCTCCGGGGGATCCTGGTTACCCTGGGCTGAAAGGTGAAATGGGCCATCGAGGTGAGTGCTGGAGGATTTGAAAAGCTGCACTTTACTGCACATGGTTTGGGCTGGGGAAGATTTCAGAGCTCCCTTAATGGGCTTATTTGGGGGACTCTTGGTTTCTTAGAAATTGAAATAAATTAGGAAGAGCTTGACATACCACTTTTTACAAAGATACCCAGTGCTGATGTGCTAAGACAGTCTTAATTCAGCATACTTCTCCTTTGTGTCAGTATTATCATCAAAACTGTGAATTTTTTGTGGGGTACTTACACTGCCATTTGCACTGTGTGCAGGTCTCCCTGGCCAACAAGGGGCTCCAGGTACAACCCCACAGCCAGAAGAAATCACAGCCCCTGCAGGCTTACCTGGTCTGCCAGGAATTGATGGTGTCCCTGGCTTTGATGGAGATCCTGGATTCCAGGGCCCAGCTGGAAAACCAGGTAAAAAGTACACTCAGATCACTGAAATGCTGGCCTTCTGGAAGAACAACACTACTTTCTCAAATGCATTAGGAAGGTTTACAGGTTTTTCTAATAAAGGAAATAATTCCAGCAAAATGCATACAAATATCATGTTTTATTATTATTAGAATGTAATTGATAAATTCTGTTCATGCACTTTTATAGTGTTTTTTAATTAGGTTTCCAGAATTAGGTACAGCAGCCTGTAAGGTAGCTGATATGATACCAGCTTTGGTACTAGCAGGTGGAGTGGTCATGAAAATTATTCACCACTGAGAATTATTTCAACTGTCAATGAAATACTGTAACTGGAGAAGTGCTGGGAACTTCAGCCTGCACCACTTTGTTCATATTGTTTGGCCAAGCAACTCTGGTGGGTCCTGCACCAGCTGGCTCTTCTAGGCCCCATGATTCCTTTCTTAGCACTGCCATTTAGGCGATTTTTAAATGTTAGTGTTCACTTCTATTCATGAAAACTCCTAGAGCAGGAGTTTAGCACCACTTAGCACCAGTCCTTCCCCCTAGATGTTATCATGAGTCCCATCACAGTGAATAGAGCTGTGTTAGTTCCTGGCTTCCTGTTGTCAGTTCCTAAAGTGAATAGATGTGCAGGCAGTAAAAGCTGAGAGCACCTTTATTAATACTGGTCAGGCAATCAGGTAACAGATTCCACTGCAGAGCAGTGGAAAAAGAGAAGTTCATTGGGAAATTACCCCTATTTATACTATTTTTAATGCTTAATCTTTACAAAAGTTGTGCAAATGTACACCCATCTGTTTCCCAGTCACATTTCTTTCTACTAATATTAACCTTCCACATTACTGATCACATGCTAGGTATCTAGCTCTGTGCAATTGCAAAACGCCTTCTGTCTCTTCATACTATTTTGTTATATTTTAACTTGTACCATCCTGAACACTTACTTTATTGTTCGTTTATCCAATCCGTGCCAGACCTTTCTGGTTTGGGGTCAGGACAGTCCTGAATGGATTCTAAAGGTCCATAGGCAGGCACCTCCTCTTACATGCCACTACATTCTAAGCCTTTATATTTTGAGCACCCTTCACTGCCCTGAGACTTTTTAAAGATTTGTCAGTCAGATGCTCATCATCAAATATCAGGGGGAAGAGGGGAAAGGTGAATTTAGTTCAAGTCAATGGCTCTAATTTTACATAATATTTAGGCTGAACATCAAGGCCAATTTTCTGGTTTGAAAAAAGGGTGAAATCAAACAAAAGAAGTGACTTCAAGTCTTAAGCAAAATTTCAGCAAGGTAACTCAATTTTCTTCAGCTACAACAGCTGGCCCATTATACCAGAGGATTCTTGTTTTCACAGTGGCAGGAATCTTGCGGGACAGAGCTGAGAGGAGTTCACAGACTTCCACGGCCATCAAATTGAAACCTGAGTCTTAGGTCTGGTATGGCTTCAGACTAAAATCAGTAGCTTATCCCAGATCTCAGTGCTGCATTTTCAGTCTTGTCTAATGTTCAGCTGCACCTCTTCATCCTTTAACAGATAATCAGATCATGTGGAATCCCTGTATGGAGGTAGTTGTTTGTGACCCCAGCTGTTGAAGAGTGAGCTCTCAGCATGGCTGCTGACAATGTATTTCTCTTCTGGAACATGACTGCAGGAGTGAAGGTGTTAGTATGAGGAAATAATGATAGTAATAATTGTATTTAATTTCAGGTACAAAAGGTCTGCCAGGAAGATCTGGTTTGAAAGGACGTGATGGTTTACCTGGATCACCTGGCATAGCTGGGGATCCAGGACCTTCGGGTGCCCCAGGACCACAAGGATTTGAAGGTAATTTTATGATTTGGGGAGCACAGATCAGAAGGAAGCTATCAGTAGAATTCTGTTTGCCTACAGGTTCTGCAGAGACCCTCCCCAACACCAAATTACCTTAGGAAGACCAGTACGCGATCTTGTGTCTTGTATCTGCAATGAAGTAAATATAATCTTCAGTGAGGAAGATTGTCACATGTCATTGTTGTCTATCACTGCTGGTGTTTCCCTAGATACAGTTCTGAACATCTTTTGGTTTTAATGTTTTGTGGATGTGGGCATCATCCTGAAGATCTAAAAGAGCAAAATGGTATTCACAGTGAACACAGCTGAGAGGGTTAGATAGTAGAAGAAAGGCACAGTGAGAAAGAGAAGGTTTGGATTCTGCCACAGATTTGTTGTACAACTTTTGGCCTTTCTGTGTCAAAGGAATATCATCATGAAGAGCACTATAGCAAAAATGAATTTATTAGGTTTTGGTTGGTGCTTTGAGATCCTCAGAATTATTGTACTGTGAGATATGTGCTAACACATTGGCACCAGAGTTGTTGGGCAAAGAAAGAAAATTAAATGAGGTAGGAAATAGGTGGCTGCTATTGTGAAACGACTGCTTTTGGAACTGATAAGTCCAGTTGTTCATATAACAACCATCAAAACTTGGGCTCCTCATTGTACAAGACTGACATAAACACAATGACAGCAATGCCAAAATCAGGTAGAGAGCCAGCTGATGTCCACACTGCGTATTAGTAATAGTGACTCCTTTTCTGTCTTCTAGGTGTTGC